CATTACAGAGCTGGGGTGGGGTCTGACTGGGGATTACAGAGGGGGAGTCTGACTGGGGATTACAGAGGGGGAGCCTGACTGCGGATTACAGAGGGGGAGCCTGACTGCAGATTATAGAGGGGGAGCCTGACTGCGGATTACAGAGGGGGGGAAGGGGAGTCTGACTGGGGATTACAGAGGGGGAGCCTGACTGCGCATTACAGAGGGGGAGCCTGACTGCGCATTACAGAGGGGGGGGGGTCTAACTGGGGATTACACAGGGGATACTTCTATCCGATCAGCTCTAGCTGGAGTTGAAGTGAGGAGACATGGGGACATATTTTAGAGTACTTAGACAATGTCGCAATAACATTCCATTCTAATGCTGCCATAGCTACCCTGGATTTTGAGAATCTGTTATCATCAGCGCTTTTTCCATTGTAGGGACACTCGAGTTTCAGACGGTGACTAGCTTAGTATGAAAGCCAGTGGGACTCAGCTTTTGGCGTTCCTTCAATAGTAGGTGTACTTTCATTACCCTGATATACTAGTTAGAGGTTAATATTGTGGAATGCAGCTGACACAACTATGGTTAAATTGAGGAGGAGAGTCCACGATTGAGGTAGTGATACATGGACTGTACAAGGAGTAGATCTGATGGACCGAATGGCCTGCTCTTGTTCTAAATTCACATATTAAAACTTAGCTTTAACCCTAGTAGCTGCATGGGCAAAGCTCACAAAGACGTTATCTGTGAGGCACCTTGGAGTATTTAACGTAAAACAATTCACTAGCACAGAAATGTTTTAAATATGTCTCAAAGTTGTTGATGAGAGCAGGAGATTAGCTCGCCAGGTACCTGCTGGGATACAGTGCATAGACCATCTAGGATCTTGCATTAAGTTGTGCACATAACTGAACAATTTTTTGTTTTAAAAAAAAAGACGTGTGACTTCCAGTTTATCTTGTCTTTCGGGAAAGTGGGGAAGGATTCTATGTGTGTGTGTTTTTTGTTAAACAGGTCCTATAATACTGGGGTTCTTATAGCCTGCAGGTTACAGTATTTCAGTGGTTTGCAGGAGGGATGGGGGAGTGGATGCCAGCTCAGGTGCTCTTTGGGTCGTTTCGCAGGTTTTTCAGCTCTAATTCCAGTTGCCGTATTTTCACGTCTTTCTGTGTCAGCTCCTCCTTCAGTCTTCGGATCTCGTCTTGCTGTCGGAAGAACATTCGGAGGAGCTAAACAAATGACATTTGAAATAAATCAGTCAAAAACAAAGGTGGATTTGTTTCTTAATTGTGTATTTCTTTCTCCCTCTACAATCCTCTCCAAATCTCCTCAATCCTTCCTTCTTTGCTTTCTGTCTTCTCCTTCCTCTCACCCCCTTAATTTTCCCCTTTCATTTCCTCTCCTCTCCTGTGGTCTCCCCAGGGAGCCAGTATTTGATGGTATTCCAGAGCACTGGTATGTTTTGAATAACTGTAATGGATCAGACCAGGTGCCCTCAAAATATTTTAAGAAGGTATCCTAGACCCCTAACGTTTTCTTATTTTTAAGGCAACCGTGAAGTGCTTTGTTTCAGATGCAATGTGACTGGTCAAACTACATGATGTTAAGCGAAAACACAATTTATTTAAACACTATAGTTAAAATACAAATAAAAGAAAGAAGAACTTAGAATAATAGATCCAGTAACTATTACTATTTAATTGTTCCAATATAGTAACATCCCATAAACACACCCATTGGCAAAAAGGCAAATTTAGAAAAATAGATCTGTCTTGCAAGTAACCCAGCAGCAGAGAGAAATCCCAGCTTCGAACTGTAACCGAGTAAGGGAAAAGATAGCTTCTTCTTCTTCAAGCCTATAAGAGCAACTGCTTAAAGCGAAACCCAAAAACTTTTTAAAAAACTAGATATCCCAGACTGTGAGAGTTGGCTACACCCATCCAGGGGTGGATGTAGCTAAGCTGTTTACTTTACTGGCTTGCCATGTAGATAGCTTGGCACCCCTGTTTTAAACCTCTCTTTGAAAAGAAAACCAGGACAAAATACACTTCTTAAAGCCACAGTGTCATGACAATAGCCTGTCTAACCACTGTCGCTGTGCCAACCTGGTCAGTAAAGTAGCTGCGCTCTATTTGGCACAATAAGTGAATCCATTCTTGGTGTCACTGAACATCCATACACCAGCACTTTGTAGCAAGTTAAAGCTCACCAACGTTTGCCTCTTCCTGGCCTGGCTTCACTGAGACAAGTTGTCATATTTGAACAATTCCGACAGTGAGCAGAAACTCAGGATGGGAACCGATATATAATCTGGATGAGTATAGGTCAGTCTCCTCACAAAGACTGAAAACAATTCAATGCCTCACTGCTTTTCATAACATCAGTTAGTGAAGTGATTTCAAAGTGTTGTCAATGTTCTAACCTGAGAAATGCAAGTCAGTTTGGTGCCCAGCAAAATCTCACAACCAACAATGTGGTCATTTAATTTTATTGAGGGATAAATAATGGCTATGACACCAGACACCTGCTCTTCTTCAATTCAGGGCAACCATAAACCATAAGACATAGGGGGTGTATTAGGCCATTCGGCCCATCGAATCTGCTCCACCATTCAGATATGCTTCTCAAACCCATTCTCCTGCCTTCTCCCTGTAATCCTTGATCCCCTTACTAATCCAGAACCTATCCATCTTTGTCTTAAATACATTCAATGACTTGACCTCCACAGCCTTCTGTGACAATGAGTTCCACAGATTAACCACCCTCTGGCTGAAGAAATTCCTCCTCATCCCAGTTCTAAAGGGTTGTCCCTTCACTCCGTGGCTGGGCCCTCGGGTCCTAGTCTGTTGTACTAGTGGAAACATCTTCTCCACATCCACTCTCTCCAGGCCTTGCAGTATTCTGTAAGTTTCAGTGAGATGCCCCCCTCCCCGTCAACCCCAATCCTTCTAAACTCCATCAGGTACAGACCCAGAGTCCTCAACCACTCCTCATAACAGAATCTTTTACATCCACCTGAGGGGGCAAGCATGGCTTTGGATGATGTCCTCATCTGGAGTTTGTCCCTACGACTGTGCAGCAATCCCTCAATACTGCACTGGACTGTCAGCCAAGATTTCTGTGTCCAAGCTCTCAATACCCTGACTCAGGAGATGAGAGAGCTACCAAATGAGCCACAATTAACGTTTCATGGCCAGTTCACCAATATTATTGACTTCGGTTCAGGGAGAAATGCTCACCAAGGCTCTGGGGAGAATGGCTCTGCTCGTTCTGAAACAGTACAGTGAGGCTTACCCCAGCCACTTGTGAGGGCAGACAGGGGTTTTGGTCTGTCCTGATAGACAGGAGAGACAAGGGCTTGGGAAGAAATTAAAGGATGCGTTAAAACTGCTGCCTTCAGGATTTCTCAGGGCTCACCTCATTCTCTGTTCGAGGAGGCACATTTTCTAATAGATCAATTCCGTTAACAACGACACTTTTCTTGTCCTTTTTAGGTACCTTGAATGCAACGTTTGTCGATTTGTAACCTTCCTTCAAAGACATGAGAATTGGGTCTGCAACCAAAACAGAAACACACAAAGCATAAGAGCTTGTGAAAATGGTAGACTTGAAATAATGAAACAAAGACAAAAAGTTGCTGGAAAATCACAGCAGGGCTTTTACTTTTGTTTCTGATTCCATCATCCACAGCTTTTTGGGTTTTTTCTTGAAATATTGAAATCTTGATAAGTTTGGAATGTCACATGTTACAGGGAAGCAATGGCCCAGTATTAATATCACTGGACTGTTAATCCAGAGACCAGATAATGTTCTGGGGACCCGGGTAATGTTCTGGGGACCCGGGTAATGTTCTGGGGACCTAGGTAATGTTCTGGGGACCCGGGTAATGTTCTGGGGACCTGGATTTGAATCTCGCCATGGCAGATGGTGGAATTTGAATTCAATAAAACTCTGGAGTTAAGAGTCTAATGATGACTATGAAACCATTGTTCATTGTCGGAAAAACCCATCTGGTTCACTAATGTCCTTTAGGGAAGGAAACTGCCATAGTTATGAGGAAGGGTCACTGGCCCTGAAACATTAACTCTGATTTTTTTTTCACAGATGCTGCCAGACCTGCTGAGCTTTTCCAGCAACTTCTGTTTTTGTTCCTGATTTACAGCATCCACAGATCTTTCGGCTTTTAAACTGCCATCTTTACCTGGTTTGCACTACATGTGACTCCAGACCCACCAGCAATGTGGTTGACTCTTAAATGCCCTCTGGGCAATTAGGGATGGGCAATAAATGCTGCCCAGCCAGAGATGCCCTCATCCCGTGAGTGAATTTTAAAAAAATTCCCACGTTAGATCATGGAATCCTAAAAAGAAATGAATTACCATTTTTTTCTCCTTTAGCCTTTGTTTTGAATAAAATCAATGTTATGTTTCATATTAAATCATATCACAGTTGAAGGATACAGATAGGCCATTTTAGACTGAGATGAGGAGAAATTTCCTCACCCAGAGATTGGTGTGTCTGCAGAATTCGCTGCCACAGAAAGTGGTTAATTTTTTTCAAGAAGGTGTTAAATATAGTTCTTAGGGGTAAAGAGATCAAAGGGAGAAAGCAGCAACAAGGGACTGATTTGGATGATCAGCCATGATCATATTGAATGGTGGAGCAGGCTCAAAAGTCCGAAAGGCCAATCCAGTGCCTATTTTCCATGTTTCTATATTAATTATATATTTGACAAGTTCAGAATATTACTTTAGATTAAACAACAACGTGCATTTATATAGCACCTCTAACATGGCAAACTCTTCACAGCATCATAATCTAATGAAATCTGATGCAGAGCTAAAAACGGAGAAACTACATGGGTAACCAGAAACATGATCAGAATGTCAGGCTTTAAGGAAACTCTTAAGAGGAGGAGAAGGAGAGAGGGGGTAATGTTTAAATATTCCAGAGCTTGGGGATTGCTGGCATTTAGACAAGGGAGAGTTGCTCAGATGTAGTTAGAGGACTGTGATCAATGTGTTTTTCAGACTTCAGGTGGAGTAGCACTGAACAAACGTTTGAATCAGGTGCTGTCATGGGATAACGGTTAATGCATAGATGGATCAAATGTCCTTTTTCTTTGCCCATGATGAATGTTAATTGTGTAAATTAAGGTTAAATATTGTTATGTCAGAATAGACAGGAGGATTTTTAACAAATGTTGAAACTTTTGTTAAAATGGACACTGATGAACTAAGAGTGATACCAACAGGGTCAGGTGACCTTTGCAACTTCAACACAGATTACCCATCTTCCAAATTCTGAACTGAATAATAACGGATTGGGAGTGGGGGAGGGAGAGGGATAAACAGAAAAATTTCTTTGTGGAATGACAACCTGCTATTGTCAAAGCTTACCCCAAAACACGGGAACAATGCGGCTCCAGACTCGATGCTCGAGGTTTGTGATGTAACAGAGGAAAGCTAACAAGGCTGGTCATCTGCAGGCTAAGTGCAAAAGACCACTGTTCACCTTCTATCGAATACTACTGACTGAAACTGTTTCTCCGAAATCCTTTGTCACTGAAGAGACCAGGTAGTCTGCAGAATGCCACCGACACAGCAACAGCCATAGGGAAACCTTTGCCTTTCAAGAACTGAGAGGCTTAAAAGTCTTTTAAGAAGCCTTGTAGTCCGATTCCAAAATCCCGAGTTTACCTATAAAGATGTTCTCCCGCAAAAAGCTGTTAAAAAAATCTGATCACACACTAATGGGGGCTTCAGAAACACAAACATCTACTTTATCAAATATTGATACAACACTGATGACAGCTAGAAGGGAAGGGAATCGAGAGGTTTAGATTTCCTCTCTCCTATCTGTGACAGCATGTGCAGGCTGAACACATTCTTTGGGTAATTACTCAAGTACATATAAAGAGAAACTTATTGAAGAGTAGTTGAGTCAGGAAAGTTACACTGTTTAATTTTGTGAACAAACCTGAAACTGAGTAAAGCTTGACTTATGGTTTCCTCTTACAGAGTTACAGAGTCATACGGCATGGCAACAGACCCTTTGGTCCAATCAGTCCATGCCAAACATAATTCCAAACTAAACTAGTCCCACCTGCCTGCTCCTGGCCCATATCTCTCCAAACCCTTCCCTATTCATTTACTTATCCAAATGTCTTTTAAAAGCTCTAATTGAACACATATCCACCACTTCCCCAGGAAGTTCATTCCACACGCAAACCACCCTGTGTGTAAAAGTTTGTCCCGATGTCTTTTCTAAATCTCTGTCTTCTCACCTTAAAAATGTGTTCCCAGTCTTGAAGTCCTCATCCTAGGGAAAAGACAACTACCATTAACTCTATCTATACATCTCATTATTTTATAAACTTCTATCAGGTTGCCTTTCAACCCCCTACCCTCCAGTGAAAAAAGTCCCAGCCTATCCAGCCTTTCTTTATAACTCAAACTTGCCATACCTGGCAATATACTGGTAAATCTTTTCTGAGCCCTCTCCAGCTTAATAATATCCTTCCTGTAACTGGGCAACCAGAACTGGACACAGTATTCCAGAAAAGGCCTCACCAACGTCCTGTACAACCCCAACATGACGTTCCCAACTTCTACACTCAAAGGACTGAGCAATGAAGGCAAGCGTGCCAAACACCTTCTTAACCAACTTGTCTATATGTGATGAAAACCTCAAAGAATTATGTACCTCAATCCCTAGGTCTCTCTGTACTACAATACCCAAAGTCTTTGCTGAAGTGGCTGCCTGGAATTTAAGCGTTCCCTAATGTAATTTTCATGTTTTGAAGTGGGAATACAAAGTCTTGCCACCAATGGAAGAGCAGAAGGCACAAGGAGCATTCTGCGATTGAGACTTAAAAGATTGGCATTTGCAAAGTGGAACTGGAAAAGGTCACATTGCACGGACAGGGCGATGACATGGAAGGTTCTACATGACAGTTCCCATTCCTGGTCCCAATTTCCACCCAGTGAATGTAAAAACATTCACTTTTTGGCTGAAGACAGGATTTGGTACAAGTAAGTTGCCTTTCACAGTTGAATAGCCTGTTAACACTAATATCCAGATTCTCACAATTAGCTACTCAAATGAGGTATCAAAATGCAACATGAATAGGAGCGAGAACAGGGGATTTGGAATCCTCCTGAAAAACTCTGAAAGGAAAGTGGAAAAAATTATATCAGTAAATTAGACAACTTTAAGCAGATGACAAGACAGAAGTGAATGGAAGTATAAGTTGATGAGGTGGAAGACAGTAAGGTGAGGGGATGGGGATGCATACAGACAGAATAGCCAGTATAGGTTTCGTCAATAGAAAAAAATGCTGTGCATTTATAGTGCTTTTCACAACTCAAAGCCCTAAAAGCAAATGAAACTCTTTGGAGGTGTAGCGTAGGAAATGAAGCAGTCGATTTACACACAGCAAGATCCCATAAACAGAACTGTGACAATGACGATATCATCTGTTTCTGTGATGTTGGGTGAAGAGTCTGGGGAGGGCTTCCCTGCCTTTCACAATAGTGCCATAGGGTCTGTTACACCCACCCAAATAGATCGCTGTCGCTTCAGCGTAACAGCTCATCAGAAAGATAGTACCTCTGCCAGTGCAGCACTCCCTCAGCACTGCACCAGAGTACTACACTTCAACTATGTGCTCAAGCCCTGCAGTGATTGGAGTTATCAACTGCACTATGACTAACACTTGGAACAGTTTGTTTCTTTACAATTGCACTCTATTCCCTCGGTAATAAATGTTAACAAACATACTTGATCCGATATGCTATCCGGATGAGAAGGACAAAAATCTATCTCATTGCTTCATTGTAATTTGTGCCATGATGTGAACTCAACCAGTTTGAGCAGGATTACAACTGAAGACGAACAGGTGAGGTAGCTCAGGGATAAGACTGTGGTTATGGATTTGACATTTGACTTGGTCCTGATATAAACTCTTTACCACGCTGACAGACAAATTCTCAGTTCACAGGAGTCAGAGGAAGTGGAAAATTATACAATAGTCATTCTCTGGTTTCTTCTGGTCTTAATAGCTTGGATCTTCCTGTGCAAATGGGAAGGTGTCAGGGATTTTACAAGCTTCTGCCAATCAATGGCTCAACTTGTTTCAGCAATTAGCCTCTGACTGACCTCAGTCCTTGGCTATTTACAGCGACTGGAAATGAAGGAATGGATACATTAAAGACAGTTCCGTTTAACAGAAGATTTACACATTCGAGGGGAGGCTAGGTAGGTATTTGAATGACTACAGAATTCCGAGGTGCAGAGATACCTTAGGCATTCTGGTGCATGGGTCACAAAAAGATAGTTTGCAGTTACAGCATACCACCCTGACCTACTCCCCTGCATTTCCCATGGCCAATCCATCTAAACTGCACATCCCTCAACACTGTGGGGCAATTTCCCATGGCCAATCCACGTAGCTGCACATCTTTGGTCTGTGGGAGGAAACCAGAGCTCCCAGAGGAAGCCCACACAAACACGGGGAGAACGTGCAAACTCTACACAGACAGTCACCCGAGGGTGGAATCAAACCCGGGTCCCTGGTGCTATGAGGCAGCAGTGCTAACCACTAAGCCACTGTGCCGCCCTTTGGTCTCCACATTTAAGAGAAGATGTAAATAAAGTTGCAAGCGGTACAAAGGAGATTTACTAGATTGATACCTGGAAAGACTGGGTGGTTTTATGAGGAAAGATTGGACAGATTGGGCTTGTTTCCACTTGAATTTAGAAGAGTGAGGGGTTACTTGACTGAAATGTTTAAGAACCTGAGCGGTCTTAACAAGATGCATGTGGAAATTATGCTTCCCCTTACGGATGCATCTATGGGCATAGTTTTAAAATTAGGGATTGCCCTTTTGAGACAGAGACAAGGAGAAACTTCTTTTTGAGGATTTTGCAACTTGGAAGCTCTGTTTCAGAAGGTGGTGGAGGTGGGTTATTGAGTATTTTTAAGATTCTTGTTAAGCGAGGCAATGAAAGACGATCAGGAGTTGACGGGAAAGGGAAGCTCGAAATTGAAACAGACCAGCCACGACCCAAATCAAAAACAGAAATTGCAGGAGAAATTCAGCAGGTCTGGCAGCATTTGTGGAGAGAAAGCAGAGTTAACATTTCAAATTTGGTTACCTTCCTTCACAACAGTTCTGAAGAAGGGTCACTGGACTCGAATTATTAACTCTGTCCATCTGAGCTTCTCCAGCAATTTCTGCTTTTGTTTCAGATTTCCAGCATCTGCAGTTCTTTATTTAATTTTAGCTGTGACCTTATTGACTGGCAGAGCAGGCTGGTGAAGTCAAATGGTCTACTTCTGCTCCTATTTCAAATGTTCAAAATAAGGGAAAGAAGTTGTGGGTTATAAGAAAAGAAATACTTGCCTTTATGTTAGAACTTTTCATGCCACCAAGTGACTCAAAGTATATTACTGGCAATTAAGTGTAGTCACTGTTGTAATTTAGCAGCTAAATTGTGCACAGCAAGCTTCCACAAACAGCAATGTGATAATGATCAGATAATCAGTTTTTCTGGCTCTAACAGAGGGATAAATATTGCTCAGGACAGTTGGCATGCCACCCCTGAACTTCTTCAATGTAGTGCCATGGGACCTTTGACAATGGCCTGAGCAGGCAGATGGTTCCTTGGTTACATGTCCTTGGGGAGATATTGGCGAATACAATTGAGTGGTTTTCCTGGCTATTTCTGATGCCAGCTAAGATTCAACCAGCCACATTGCTGTGGCTCTGGAGTCACATTGAGGCCAGACCAGGTAAGGAATGGCAGGTTTATCATCCCATCTGGAAGGTGATGCTTTTGACATTCTAGTGTCCCCAGTACAGCAGTGGAGCACCAGCCCCGACTCTGAGCTCAATGAATGATTCAGGGCTTAGACCCTGAAACCTTGGTGTCTCAGAGGTTACCATCTGAGACCTGGCTCTCGCCAGCTATGCTGCTTGACTCAGATGAGGAAGGATGGGGGTGAGCTTGAGTGGGACTTAAGCCCAGATACACACTGATTAAATCAAATGGCCTGTTGGTGCATTGCGTATTCTCCGAAGTGTTTGCTTTATAATACAGTAAAAGCTCCCTTGGGAACTGTCAGGAGCACCAAGAGTGAGCTGTTAATAATCAACAATTATTTTCCTTCAATTTGACCACTGAATCCTAATGTAGACCATTGAGGTTCATCTGCATATAACTTTAAAGATGAAATGAGTAACAATCATAGCAACTGAAAGATCTAGTGTTGACAGGTTGATGTGCAATTGTTCTTTAGTCCTGGCTGTAATTGCCACCAGAATTGTACGCATTAAGGCAAAAAGCTTGCTGTATGTGGTTGCGAGCAGCAGTGGGGGATACAGTTGGTGCTGCAAATTAGTGTTATGAATATTTACGGTAACATTGAGACCTCTGTTCATGCCGCTGAGCCACTCGTCCGCTGTGAGTGCAGGTTCAGTCCCAGGTGTCATCGGGTAGATATCCTCTTGGTATGTTTCAGACTGAAAGAAAAGGGGAATTAAACTCAGTAAAAGGACAGAGTAATCACAAGTTCCTTTGTGCTGCCTACTGCTAGTTTTTCCATTCCCTACATAATAAGCAGGTTGAAACTCCTTTTTCATTCATTGATAGGAGGTGAGTGGCTCTGGCAAGGCCAGTAATTATTACCCATTGCTGTTTGTTCATGGGGAGAAGCTGGTGAATATAACTGAGTGGTTTTCCTGGCTGATCCTGGTGCCAGCTAAGATTCAACCAACTGCATTGCTGTGAATCTAGAGTCACATTGAGGCCAGATCTGGTAAGGAATGACAGGTTTCCTTCCCTAGTGAACCAGAAACGTTTTTTCCAATAATTTCCATGTTTACCATTCGTCATGCTAGCCTCCTATTCCAGATTTAGTTAATTCATTGAATTGATTTAAAGTCCTGTTAGCAGGTCATTTTCCAGGTCTCTGGATTTTATTAGTTTTTTTTTTAACCTGGATTTTATTTGTTTACTTGAATTATCACTATTCCACCATACACACAATCTAACTTTTTCAGAAATCACTCACATTTCAATCAGCAACAATCTCTGCCAGATGCAGTTTATGAGCACTGCAGCTGGAAACAGCTTGGTGCTCCACAATAAAGACTTTAGCAATGCCTTGTTACGATGAAGCAAGAAGAGGCTGTTCAGCCCCTTTGTTTTCATTCCATTAGATCACAGCGAACCTTCACTCCCTCTGCTCCACTTGAGTTCCATATCCTGTCTTACCCCACCAGAAAAAGTCCATCCCTGCTTTGGAACTTTCAAATCATCCTGAGGCTCTACAGTTTTTATTTTGGAAAGGGTAAGGGTTAGGGTTCCAGATTCCTGCTTCCCTTTGTGTGAGGAATGATGTCCTCATGTCACCCTCAATGGCCTAGCTCCAACATTAAGGTGATTTGATATGATTGATTATTGTCACATGTATCGAGTTACTGTGAAAAGTATTGTTTAGTGTGCTATCCAGGCAAATCATACCTTACGTAAGTACATCAGGGTAATAGAACAGAATGCAGAATATAGTGTTACAGCTACAGAGACAGTACAGAGAAAGATCAACTGAAAGATCAGTTCATAAGTGTGTTAACAACGGAGAAGAAGCTGTTCTTGAATCTGTTGGTACGTGTTTTCAAACTTTTGTATCTTCTGCCCGATGGGAGAAGGTGGAAGAGAGTATAACTGGGGTGGGAGGGGTCTTTGATGATGTTGGTTGCTTTCCCAAGGCAGTGGGAAGTGTAGATGGAGTCAATGGAAGGAAGGCTGGTTTGTGGGACGGACTGGGCTGCATTGACAACGCTCTGTAATTTCTTACAGTCTTGGGCAGAGAAATTGCCATACCAAGCTGTAATGTAAATGGAAAGAACTGCGGATGCTGTAAATCAGGAGCAAAAACAGAAGTTGCTGGAAAAGCTCAGCAGGTCTGGCAGCATCTGTGAAGAAAAAAAATCAGAGTTAACGTTTTGGGTTCAGTTCTGCCCAAAGGAAGAAGGTGGAAGAGAGTATAA